CACCACTTTGTGTTGGTCTTTCACGTGGAATTCCAATAAAATTGATTCATGTTTGTGGCTGTAATGTGAAAAAGTTCAAGGGGGCCGAATACTTTTGCAAGCCACTGTATATTATTATTATTATTGTTGCCCCTTGGCTGGGCGGCCTTGGCTACCCACTGCCTCTGGTTCTGCTCCTGCCCCTTTGGTTGTGGAAGCTCCGTCCGAGGCCTCTCTCTTCCCTCTGCTCGTGTGGACGCCAGGTTGTCATAGAGATTACTGAGTTTACAGTGCTCCTCATGGCACAACAAAGCCTTCAGACCATGATTCTGATAAACTGTATACTTTCTTTTTTTACAACGGCAATAAAGAACTTTCAGTCTTGAGACATGGCTGAAAATTTCGCATTATATTGCTGATTTATTGACTAAAGCTGAAGTGTCCTGGTATTAACAATGGACCATTTAAAAGATGGATACAGCTCCTGTTTTCCAACTTCTGAATGAGTCATCTTTGTTTTGAAACTATGTGAAGCTAATGTTTTCTGGATAACCCAGATTTACAAACATACACAGAAGATTTAAAAACTATAAACCATACAGAAGTCTCACTAAATGTGACTTCGTGAATATAGTATAATATATAGTAGTAGTAGTTTTCAAACATCTACTAGTACTCATCATCTTGTAAATAGCCCAACAACTATAAGGACAGTGTAATAAATAAACATAAATAAGTAAATAATTAATAGTCAGGAGAGGTGTTAAAATATTAAATATTCAGAATAATATACATTTTTTTAAAAACACTTGATACTTGATACAATTCACCATATTTTATGACATGGTTGGTCAACTCTTAAGTCTTTTGACTCAGTGTGCCAGTTTTAAAAAATGCAGATAAAAAACTAACAAAACAATAACAAGAAAAAGCAAAAACAAATAAAAAACGAGAAAGGCTGACGGGGGTTTTGACAGTGCTGTGTTTAATTTTTGTGCTTGACAAAAAAGACAATTCTTTAAACTTCAAACAGCTATCGTACAGATCAAAATCATATGTTGCCTAAAATCTCTCCTGTACATATGTATAGATATATTTATATATATGTACATAAACGCTTCCGATAAAACATGTCCTTAAAAATAAAAACACACACAGTAATAATGGGAAGCGTGAATAAAAAGTGAATTACAGAGTTGGGGATCAGCTGAACACGAGTCAGGGTAACTGATGAGCTTTGAAAATATTTATTATGGCTTACAATTGACAGAGGACATCCTGTATTTCTACAGTTCTATTACTTATTGCCACAACCACCTTCACTATGAAACAAGTGAAGGGCTCAGAACCAAAACTCAATTTACAAACACTATATACAAGTAGCCTGTTTTTCTCAGCTGTTTTGCTTTAAGATTTATATCACTGTACAAGCATCCACATACCACATACACCGATCTATAGAGCATTTAGACTTACTAATTCTTATGTACAAATATTTGGTAAAACCCTGATTAATTTCAACAGTATTTTAACCAACCTTGCAACTATTTAAAGATAAAACACGTGAATATTTCAAAATACTTAATACCCAAAAGAAAGCAAAGAAAAAAAGATCAAAAACAAAAGAAAGAGAAAAAACCTGCTTTTTCCTTCTTTGATCCAAAAACACTCAGTGGCTTCAGAAGTACAGCATTTCACTTTAAGTACACAAGAATACTGTGCCAGGGCTGTTTTGAGGCAGGTTAAATACTATAGGTGAGTCAGTTCTTAACCCGTCTCTGAATACTGTCACGTACTTGCTGCAGGTTGATGCACTGGAATTAAGGCAACAGTAAAACAACCTGCTGCATTACCTTGTGTTGTTTCCCACACATGAGAAGCCACTTTTCTTTAACCCCAAGCAATCACATAATTCAAATACTGTAATAGAATGAAACTATGGTCCCCAAGTACACAACTGTATTACAGTGTAACAAGTACTAGTAACAAGTACAAATACTAAGAGTCAAAGGTTGTCAGGTACTTAGTCTTTACATCATGACAGGAAGAATCGTGGGGAGGAGGAGGGAGAAAATGTCTATTTGTTTTCATGCAGGTCTCTGTGGAGAATCCAGATCTCCTCATGTGATTGGTTGTTGTTGTCAATGTTGCTGTAGTAGTTGTTGTTGCTGCTGCTGCTGGATGGAGCCTGCTTTGTTCTGCTGTTGGTGCTGCTGTTTGTAGTTCTGCTGCGGCTGTGGGGCGTCTGGATTCGGCTGGGGCTGTTGCTGCCATTATTGTTATTGCTGCTGCTTGGGGTGGCCGCAGAGACGCGGGTGTGCTGCCCTCGGCTGCTGGCGATGGGGAGCTGTGATTTGACACGTGGGCCCGATCGTCGATCGCTGCTCTGGACAGACGCCTGGTTGGAGCTGCGGCTGGACTGACTGACGGTCTGCGGGATCAAAGATTGAGCCCGCTTTAACGTTTTCATGTCAGTGGACAAAACTGGTGGGGGCAATAATGCATGAAATTACAGAGGAGATGTGAAACGTAATCAAGTTACTGCTTCTTACTACTTCTAGATATAAGTCACCTGTTTGTGGTGTAGTAGACGGATTAGCAGCAAGAGTAAGCCAAAAGCTCAGGATTCAGACTGCTCTGCACAGCTACATTCAGACATTGCTTTCTACTCTTCCTCTGTTTTCCATCAAAAAGAGTGGTTTGCACCTGCTGCAACACCGTTTAGAATCAGTGGAGGGCCAAAAGTTATAGTGATGGTTTAAAAGGAGAGGAGCTAAATGTTTCAGTGAGCGGATCAGCACAAGGGCTCCACCAAGGCCCACTATAAGATAAATAAAGGATTAATTACAACTGTTAATTGTGCAATGTTGCTTTAGTTGAGTGAAAGAACAAAACTAGAGAGTTGGAAATTAACTGGAACAGGTCTCGTTAAATATCAAACCATCACTAGCGTTTGACTCACAGGCTAATGTATTCATTGCTTTCTGATGCTATTTACAACAACTATTATTTATCACAGTGTTAAGCTGCTAATCGCCTTTGCCTCTTACTCTTTCCATCTGTGGTCGTTGCTGGACTGCAGTTTCTTGCTCAGCCTTTCGTGGGAGCACTGCTTCTCTGGGCAAGCTGGAGAACAGGATCATGTCATCTTTGGTGTGAGAGATCTGTAAGAGATAGAGAAGAGTATTTCAAGCAGCAGCTCATACCTGGAGGAGTGTAAGTCTTGACTTTTCCCCCCTACTTTTCTACACAGCCATTTTCATAGGCTCAAAAGTCGCTGGACACCTGCTGACCAGCAGTTTTATGGTCAGGTGAGGCCAAATTACATATGACGTATGATTGGTATGGTTTCATGAGAAGTTTCATGAGGTTATCATTATGCTGCAAAACCACAATAAACTTATCAGAAAGCTAGCAAAAGAAATGATGGGAAGAAGAGAAAAGTATGGAGAAGAAAAAACAACAACAACAGCTCATAATCCAAAGAATACCACAGTATCTGTCCAGCATGAGGGGGAAATTTGTATGCTTGCCAGTGGAATTGGACCACTAATGTGTAATGATGTGAGTGCTCACAGAAGTAGCAGGAGGATTTCTTTAGTGTTCAGGGCAATTACTCTCTGCTAACATTCAGCCAAATGCTGCAATACTGATCAGAGAGTGCTTCACTGTGGAAATGGATAATGACCCAAATCATACAGCAAAAGCAACCCAAAAGTTTTATAAGCTGCAAAAATATGATCTTCTTCAATGGCTGATCTCAAACCAACAGAACATGCTTTGCATTGTTACTGCAGACACAAGTGAAAGCACAGAGATCAGAAACAAGCAACAACTGAAGGCAGCGACAGGAAAGGCCTGGCAGAGTGTTTCTAGGCAGGAAACACAGTATCTGATGTCCATGAGTTCCACACTTCAAGCAGTAACTCACTGAAAAAAAACATGTTCACCCCAAAATTCAAAACAGTCCTTATATTTAAAATGATTTTAGTTTATCCAGATCATTTTTAGCATTAAATACCAGTCTGGTCACTCAGCAGCGATCTATATGTCAGTGGAGTGAACTTTAGGTTCTTACTGAAATGGTGGGAAGTACATTTCAAGTTTTTAAAACCTTCCTGGGTCAAAAGTCAGTAGGTGACAACATTTCACATGCAGTATTTATATAAAATTATTAGTGCTGTCGAAATGAACCTGTTAACGCACATTAATCCGCCATCACGGTCAACGCGATCAAAATTTTTAACGCAATTAATGTCAAAAATTGCAGAATGACTCAAAATCCCTGAAATGTTTCTGTCAACGCATTTCAGGCAGTTTGTCCAAGTAGAGTTACCTTCGCAAATGGGCAGCTGATCTGGTAGTGACGGGCAGCTGAACCAATCAACTCAATATGGAAGATGATAAACGCACATTGGCCCTCTCGATGGGAAATTTGAGTATTAAAAAAATAACAAGACGGAACAGTCGACCGACAGAAAGTATTATGCACATTGTTCAAGAAGGAATTTTCTTTTCACCGAAGCACCTCCAGCTTAAAATATCACATTGACGCGAAGCATACGTTAGTCGGGTATGCTGCTAGGACTTTAGCTAACGGGTCACCCAGCTTGCGACAAACCACTCACGGAGCATCGGGGACTCAGTAAGTCTACCTCGCAAATATTGACCGACACAACTGCCAAGTGGACTGCAACAAACTGCAGACCTATTAATATCGTTGAGAACAGGTGCTTTACATAGCTTTGGCTCCACGTTTCAAGGACTTGAAGTGCCTCACGAAGAGTGAGAGTGGATAAATGTTTACACAGTTCTTTTTGTTAACACGAATGTTCAAGATGTTCAATAAACATGTTAAGTCCGTATATTTTCCCTTTTTCTCGAGTCTGTTTGCTCATGCAAAATGAAATGTGATCAATATAGAATAAAAATGAATGATATTTAATTGTGATTAATCAAAATTAATCCACAGTAACCCTGTGATGAATCTGATTTAAAATTGTAATTGTTTGAGAGCACTAATACATATATTATATATTAGTGCATACTTACCTGTTAGTATGTAGGGTTTTTAAAAAGTTGTATTTCACAGAAGAGAATCTGTGCTACAAGATTGAAGAAAACTATTCAAATTCTCTTTGAATTTAAGCATCCAATCGTTGTGTTTATTCTGTATTTACTTCATTATATTGCATAGATGTCAGTTACAAGCTTAAATATATAGTTGAAAAAAATGTAATTGCAACCAGGCTATTGATCAAGAAATTGCGATTAATTACAGAAAATTGTGCGATTAATTTGTTAGATTTTTTTTTTTTATCTATTGACAGCACTAAATTATATGTCAACGGTCTCCCCACTATTTCAGTTTGCCCTGGTCATAAATTACTGTTAACAGCACATTTCCACTGGATTGATAATTTAACTGACTTCCCAGCATTGAAACGTCTCTTTTAAGTTAGAGTCGGAGTAAATCCATTGTGTCAGTGAGTGAGTGGAGAAAGGCTTGTGAGTGTGAGTACCTTAGTGATGTCTGGCTCAGATTTGCTGGAGCACATCGTCTGCAGTTCTCTGATCAAATCGGTCTCATCATCAGAGAAAACAGACAGACCTTCGGGCTGTCTAAAAAAGTATAACAATTTAAAAAATGAATAATAGTAATAATAATTTTTACAAAATATATATGCAAAGGCACCTAACGTACTGTAACAACTACTTAATTAAGCTATTTAATAAAAATGTGTTTGCAGGTTCTGTCTGTCCACATATTAATATAAGGTACTGATGCTAATGCTATTACCACTGCTGCACATTTATATTAATGAGACACAGAACCAACCTCTGGACTTTGCCATTGGAGATCAAGCTGACATCAGAGCTCGAGAGAGAACCTGAAATTATAGGTTAATGTACAGCTTTATTCATACGACATGAAAAACGACAGTTCACTTAAATGGCAACAGGAACAGAGCCAAAAGCCTGGGTTTTATTAAAAAGGCTTATCTATAGAAACACGGAAGGTGAGCTGATGAGTACACAAACTGTGCACGTGGACACAAACAGACCTACCAATAGTTTTAATTAGAAACAACTTGCTTTCAAATATAAAAGATGGGGATTTGTGGTTTCTTCTGAGTAAAAAGGAGAAAAGAAGAGGCAGGCAGCAAATGTTAGGGCTGGTAAACAGTGCCACCTTGTGGAGATTGAAGACATGTGTCCTTAATCCGGGCTTTCAAATGTCTAAATCTAACGCTTTACGCATTGTATTTTAACAAGCTCTTTATATGTGACTGAAGAAATGCTTTATCTGAGGTATCTGAGGACTTTCATTGCTCTGTTACATCCAGAACGTCACAGTGTAATGATTTTACATTTAAAAGACAAAATAATTAAAGCTGTCTGAATGTGAAGAAATAACCACTATGACACAATGTCGAAAACATCTATGTGTTGTGGTGAAGAGATATCGTCTGCACTTGGGTTGGGCCGCACGTTCGTGTAATACCAGTTTGTACCATAAGATGGTACCAGCGAACCAATGCAACTTTTATTTAATCAGGAAAATCATCGAAAAAAGCATTTACAGCTGCAACCTGGACAAAAGCAAAGGTGAACGATGGCAGTAGATAACAAAGTTAAAAACAACTGCATGCATCTACAATCAGGTGCCGGGTGGTGCCACCAGTTACTTTACTGTTATGGACCAGTTTTAGTTAACACTTACAGAATACAATCACGCCTTGATACCTTTAAATTATTCAAGTAAACCTGCCCCTCCAAAATGACAGATTTTTAAAAGAATATTCCCACAAGTACAAATACATTGTTCATTGTGATCCAATGCAGAGCAGCATTCTTACCCTCTCTGAAGGAACTGCTGCTCCAATTCAAGGCGGGGCTTCCCTTCTTCCGAGGGCTGGTGTTGGATCGTCTCAACTTGCCACTGTCCCGTCCCCTTCTACCTCCTCCGCCGCACATGCTTCCTTTATAGGGGCCAACAGCTGACAGAGGGAACGTGCCACCCTGAAACTCTAGCAGGTATCTGTCGATTTCTGAGGAATAAGGGAAACACTGTCGATCAGTGCATTTTTAATCTCATGTCATGTCTTTTTCCCTGCTCACTTATTTCCTTTGGGAACTTGAGTGAATCAACAGCCAAACATCACATGTGACGCACACGCACCGTGTCGAGGCAGGGGGCATCCCAGGAGTACAGCCTTGTTGACCAGGATGCTGAGAGCGGCTTTCACCACAGCCTGTTGTCCAGCACTCAGCCCACAGTTGCTAAGACACGGTTGTTGTGATGAGGGGGCTGGAGAGTGAGAGGTGGAAGAGGAGGAGCGCTTGGCTGTTACCCGGGAGATGATGGCTTCTTCTACACGGGGGACGACCACAGCATTCCAGAGACGTGCCAGCCACCTGCACATATGTGCACACACGCAAACATGTAAGCTTCCAAGCACGCACACACTTCATACTTCTTCCCTTAAGTCGTTTCCTGATCTTTTTCCTCTGGCCGCAGATTATCTGGTCAACACTGAGGTCGTTTCAGTTCAGTTTAGAATGTTCATTTATCATAAATGAAGGTAGAAAGATAAACACTTTATATGGAAACAATCATAAATCATTAATGTGTAGAGCAAGCAGCACTTTTTAAAATGTAACCAAATCAACTAAAAGCTCATTTACAACAGATCTACTAAGTAATTCCGTCACTTATGTACAAATATTCACTGATTTTGTGTTTTTCATCACAGCAAATTAAACTACTCTCACCAAGAGGGGGACTGTGCCTCTGTACAGGTCAAACAATCAACAGTGCAGGGCTTCAGCTTTAATTCAAATCGCATAACTCCTTCACTTCACAAATGAGCACTGGAAACAAACTATAATTTTTTTCTAGATAGAGACATGTTCACACACCTTACAATGGCCTGCGCGTTGTTTGGGACCACAGGGCAGGACAGGAAGAGCTGCGGGCCCAGCAAAGCCTCATGGGTCCCCAGACGGGACAGGCAGGCATTGAGCTGCTGCCAAACCTGGCTCACCCACAACACCAACCGCTCCATGACGCCATCAGGAGACCAAAGTCCAGTCCCCATCTGGGGGAAAGAAGCAGGGCAACAGAACTGAATATGTTCTGCTCTTATGATAAAACACTGTGTGGCTAAAGTGAAATATCAAAAGGACATATGGGAAGGAATATCACAGACTGGGTTTCCTGTGAACAGTTCTACTATGTTTTTGATCACGTCTCCCTGTGCTCCCCTTAATGATCCATTTCCTAACATTTGAGCTTGTTTGGGATTACAGGTGGAAAAAAACAACAACAACACAATTTTGGTTGTGATTAAAACAAAACCGATCTGGCCATCCACCAAAATGATGCAGTCTCTCTGGCAGCTGCAGCTAAACCTCTGTCTGACCTTGTGAAGCAGCTTTTTGCGGAGGTGCCTTCCCAGCAGGCTGTGCAGTGGCTCCTGATCCCAACGAAAAGTGACCCAGCGGAAATGCTGCTGGAGACGAAGCTCTGCTCCCTGCAGGCGGGGCTTCGATAATGTTGCAATCAGAAAGTTCCCCTCTCGGAAGTGGTGGGGACCTGAGGGAAGGAAGGACAAGACAAAAAAGCTGATTTATTTGGCATCATCTTCCTAGTCAGTCTCTTATATTGTTGTTATTATCTGACTGTTGGTTTTGTGGTCGAGCACAGGGAGCGCGTTCGCTGTCCACTCCACTCTAGGGCCTGCCTGTCTGCCTGCAGTGAGCTATGTTGTCAGATGGAGGCGGTGTACAAAGTATGTCCTACAACCAGTCTGTGGTCCGTGAGTCAGCCTCAGAGTGAAGTTCGAACATACAAAGAGCTGAAGTGTTAAAAACAATGAAAAGTGTCCACTGCAGTCACTGTCTGTGCTTTTCATGCTTTATTTTATGATCTTTTACGCTTTTTTGCCGTTCTCCCTTTCTCTGTGAACTCCACTATCACTACCTGGTCTATTCTGGCCCACATACAGTGGG